CAGCGACGACGACTGAGACTCGAGTGCTGTTTTCTGTTGGCTTTAGGCTAATAATAATACTCGAGTGCTGGTGTGGGTTAGATAATTCTGAGCCTGCTACCTACGTGGGCTGTTTCTGATTGGGCTTTCTGCGTAAATAGGCCCTGGGCCCTGCTTCTGTACTGTGTTTCATATAAAATAAAATAAAATAACTAGAGAACCTAATGCTAAAGCAAATGTAAAGTGCTCTCGATTTGTAATTAAAAAAACATATGAAGCATGTGACAGAATATTGTACCATATAAAGACAATAACTTCTGGCCTCTAGGTTGAAGTTAACAGAATGCTATACTTCAAAAATAATATGAAGTGAACTCCGTAGGTTTGCTCCGAGCATCCAACGCATATACATCCCATAACTACACAAAAAAATGAATTACTTTAGGAAAATGCTTTCTTTTAGACTGATTGATTCTCACGTATCATCTGTCGCCTTCCCCTTGCTCCATGTGTCTATGTGGGACAAACACATCGCTTATGCCCTTTCTATCTTATCTCCTCGGCTCAACTAAGCCTTTCGCCTCTTTCCTTTCGATCCCCTCCGCTCTTCTCTCCCCAAGCGGCCCTTCCCATCTGGGAGTGTTGCCTCTTTCTCCCCGAAGCGCCATCCTCTTCAGTGAGCCGGTGCTTTGAAGAATAACCAGTGATGCTTGGGGGCAATACAAGCCTGTTGCTAGTATTGCAACCGGGATCTCGTCGAAGTCGCACACGCATTTGTCAGTGCCGCTTGGGTGCTCACCGATGCACGATGGTTGCAGAGGTCGTTGGGCGTTGCAACATTGCTTATTTTGCGGTGGCAACGTGCCTTGACCACGTGTGAGCGGTGTTTTGCAGGGGGGGGGGCATGTTTTGAAATGTCTTGCAAACTAGAGGTGACCGCAACATGGTCCATGTTGCAATGGGTGACAAAAGTCACACGTATTTTGCAACGTCATGCAAATTGGAGGTGACCGCAACATGGTCCATGTTGCAATGGGTGACCAAAGGCCCACGGGTTTTGCGACGTTATGCAAACTGAAGGTGACCGCAACATGATCTATGTTGCAATGGCTGACCGCAACATGGTCCATGTTGTGATGGGTGATCCAAGACCCACGTGTTCCTACAGTCGGGGCTCGTATGTCGGAATCCAATAGCTTTGAGTTTTTTCTTTTGAGTATGTTGAGCTCCAAATTTTGTTATTTTGTTTGACACACAACTTCAGTATTTCTTCTAATGCTCTATACACCTTCAAGGTAAATGCACATTTGCGCATTCATTTTTGTGTATTTACTCTTTATCTGGATGTTTCAGGATTTTTTTGGTCATGAAACTGTATTTTTGTTATTAACCTCCCACCACGAGTAGATCGCTCTGTTTTTTTCTTCTTTTGAAAATGTATTGTGTTCGTTGAGTTCATATGTTTTTGTCTGTGCCAACATTGTTGGATTTTTACATCTTCGACTCTGCCTTCTTATACTACACGTATAGCTTTGCTTGGTTGGAGGGAATTAGTGGCACAAAATGAGAATTTGAGGGGTACGAGACATAATCCATTGTCTCATTGGAGGTTGGGGAGTTGAGAAGGCTGATTGTTACACCCTCTGTTTTTATTTACTATGCACATTAGAGTTGACGAAGTCAAACTTTATAAAATTTGATCAAGTTTATAGAAAAAAATATTTATCATAAAAAATCTATATGATGTGAAAGTGCATTCGGTAATAAATCTAATGGTATTGATTTGTTATTGTATATGTTAATATTTTTGTTTCTAAACTTTGTTAAAGTTTACAAAGTTGACTTTGACCAAAGCTAATATGCGGACTAAATAAAAATGGAGGGAGTACATATCTCTTCTGTGCTCTCTCCGTATTAATTCAGGTGGGATGTTAAATTCCTCCTACTAATTCCCAACATACAATAAACATGGGTTTGAGACTAAGAACCAACTTCCCATGCCTAATGTCCTGATAAATTCCACCTCTAAACTTCCATTCCCTATTCTCCATTGTAGCCAAACAAGCTGCTAGGATTTGCAAATGCAGTGTTGCCTGCCAAATGCGTATGCAGTAGAGTCAAGAAAAAGATCTTACATTATGAGACCGAGGGAGTACTATTTTGACACCGTATGAAAAACTGAACGCTTAGCACAAGCTGAACCAGATCAGTAACATTATAACATACAGCACTTGATAATTCCATTCTTCTTGTCACTAACATCTTGTTTAATTCTTCGAACTTGCAAACTACTCCCTCGTGCAGTGTCAAAAACGCTCTTATGTTATGAGACGGAGGGAGTAGCTACTGCCACGGCGCCGTCAGTAGGTAGTGAAGCAAGGGTACCAATGGCGTCCTGTGTTTACCCCATTCAAGTCGGTGTTTGCTGGGTCTGTAATGTTGTTGCCTAACACGTAACCCCCAGTTACTAGCATCAACGAAGAAATAGAAAAGCAAGGAGCAGAGCAAAAGGACCCATCACCATCAATTCAGATTTCAGAAATAATGTAATGCGGTCGATTTAAGTTTAGTATGCAAAAAGAAATAGTCTGCGCTTTGGATCTCGACGTGATCACTTGCAGGTAGGGACGAGGACGTGGCCGGCGAACACGATCACCCCTGACCGCTCCTCCATGATGATGAACGTGAACGGATGTTCAGCGATGAACTCCACATGGTCCGGCATTGGTCCGCCGCCACGCAAGGCCGTCATGACCGCAGCCGCCTCGGTCCCTTCCTCATTCACCTTGATGATCGCCTTGTGCGCAATCTTGGTCAGGAAGGTCGGCGGCCCGTCGTCCTGCTTGTACATGCCTCGCAGGTCGCCCACCTTCCGCGAGAAGGGCAGCGTGAGGCCCAGCCGACGGAGGTCGCTCCCAAGGTCCCAGTCCAATGACACCTCGAACTTGGGGAGCTTGATTTGGACTAGCTTGGTTTCCGTGGGCAGGACGCTGTAGAGGTACCCAGGTGCCGCGGTGATCACGTCCACCATGGTGGCCATGCCGTCGCGCTCGTCCGGGAGGAAGACAAACATGGAGAACTGGGTGGCGTCCTCGCCCAGAGGCGTCTTGACAGAGGTGGCCCGCGGGCCACGGTAAATCTTGTAGGGAAGCCCCTCGTTCATATTCCCCATCCGGGCCGTAGGGGAGCTTGAGTACCTTGAAGCCGTCCATGCACGAGATGGACATGGTCTTTGAGCTCGTACGTGAACGCTGCCTCGACGTGGCTGCCGTCGAGCCGGTGGAACTTGCCCAATGACGTGTGGCAAACGTTGAAGGGATTGAGCCAGCTGCCCTTGAAGTAGACCGCATTGGCGAGCACGAGGTCGGTGTCGGCGGTGATGTCGCTGCGTGAGATCATGGAGTCGATGAGGTTGTTGGTGGCCTTCTTCACCCAGCGGTTGATCGTCTCCACTGCTTCCTCCGGCTGAACATACAATAACCAACGATATGATTTCAGTTTATATCAAATGCGCAGAAGTTAACATAAAACTGTAGACACACGTTTCTTTCACCCAATGGCCAGCTGATTCACATTAATTAGAACACGTACTCAAAGAAAAATTAAGTTTAGAAGACTGTTTCTAATGATTTGATTAAGATTAATTCGAAGATGTTCTCAAAAGGAAAATAAATAAGATAGAAGATTGTTGCCTTGTTTGTTAGGATTTGTCCTGTCGAGAAAAATGTTCAAGGGTTTGTGTAGGACACATCTAGATGTGACATAGTTATGTCACATCTGTTTGTGGTCTGTTTTTTTGTCCTAATTTTTTTGTGTCTTTTTGCCGCATTATATATTTGTGGAAGCTTAAATGTGAAATCCTTAAAAAACATCTAGATGTGAATTAGACAAACTGAATGTTCAACGACATCTCGTTCATGATTGTCCACAGATCCATATTAATTCTACTAGAGGTTTGCCTCGAGTACGTATTGATCCCTATTAACTATACTACTTCCTCTGTCCCAGAATATAAGAATGTTTTTGACATTATGCTAGTGTTAAAAACGTTCTTATATTTTAAGACGGAGGGAGTACATATTTGCCTCGAATATTGATCCATATAATTCTACTACAGAATTGGCTTGGGTAGGAGGTTAGGGTTCCAGAGCACAAACAATCGCCTCTACTAACCTCATCGGTGAAGCTGACGGTGCGGGTCTCGGACTTGTAGGACTTGGCGGCGACCTCCTTGAACGCCTCCTTGAGCCCGTCGCGCGAGGCGTCGATCTAGACGCCGCCGCCGAAGAGCACATGCGGCCCGCCGGAGCCCGCCTTGTTGGCCAGGACACGATCGGCGACGAGGCGACCAAAGGCAGCGAGGCCGTCCGCCGTCGGCACGCCGAGGAAGTTGAGCAGCTGGGCCCGCATGGCGCCGCCCGCACCCATGGCCACCAACGCGAGGCCAGCGTGGATGGAGACGGGCGAGAACGCGACGTTCTTAGCGGCGACGTCCGCGTCGGCGGCCGTGAGGTGGTTGGCGAGGCGGAGCGCGAGGGCCGTCTGCCCGTCGCGGACTGGGTCGGCGGCGGCCATCGGGAGCAGGTACGTGCCACGGCGCAAAGTGGACGAACTGTACGTACTGTAGGTTAGGTGTATATCAATCTTTTCTTTAGTGTAGAAGGACAAGTATTGGCTGTGCAATCGTAATACATTGATCGGAGCACCAGACACGTATATATGAGTACAGAGGGGGCCATAACCTCAACTATACAGAGGAAACAGGACGTGGGCCCTATACACAATATACACGTACATCATATAATCAACCCCCCCCCCCCGCGCAGTCGAAGCGGCGGCAGTGACGCAGAGACTGGAATGAAACTCCTTGAAGGTGGAAGTCGGCAGTCCCTTCGTCATCACATCAGCGAACTGTTGTGTAGTCGGAACATGGAGAACCCGAACACGTCCAAGGGCCACCTGCTCGCGCACAAAGTGAATGTCCAGATCAATGTGCTTA